AAACTTAAGTATGATCATCGCACTATTAAGAGATTTGTGGCTAATTCAGAGCACAGACGGGTTTGTGCAGATAAAGGCATATTGAGGAAGATTTCTGCCAGATCCATGGGATCAAGAGAGGAGCTGCTAAAATACCGTTACATAGCAGCAAACAGATATTTGAAGCTGCTGGTGCCTCTGGAGTCCCACGGACATCAAGGTGTAGAGTCTTCCAGAGTCTTGCAACTGTGCATAAACCTTCTATTCGGCCACCACTAACCAATGCTCACAAGCAGAAACGGCTGCATTGGGCAGAAAAATACATGACGACTAATTTTCAAACAGTCCTGTTCACTGATGAGTGCCGTGCAACCCTGGATGGTCCAAATGGATGGAGTAGTGGATGCTTGGTGGACGGCCACCCTGCTCCAACAAGGCTGTGACGTCAGCAAGGCGATGTTGGAGTCATGTTTTGGGCCGGAATCATGGGAAGAGAGCTGGTCGACCCCTTTAGGGTCCCCGAAGGTGTAAAGATGACCTGTGCAAAGTATGTGGAGTTTCTGACTGACCACTTTTTTCCCTGGTACAGAAGGAAGAACTTTGCTTTCCGTAATAAAATCATCTTCATGCATGACAATGCACCATCTCATGCTGCAAAGAATACCTCTGTATCAATGGCTGCTATGGGGATAAAAGGAAAGAAAGTCATGGTGTGGCCTCCATCCTCCCCTGACCTCAATCCTAATGAGAACCTTTAGAGCATCCTCAAGCAAAAAATCTATGAGGGTGGGAGGCAGATTACATCCACACAGCAGCTCTGGGAGGCTATTCTGACATATTGCAAACAAATTCAAGCAGAAACTGTCCAAAAACTCACAAGTTCAATGGATGCAAGACTTGTGAAGCTGCTATCAAATAAGGGGTCCTATGTTAAAATGTAACGTGACCTGTTAAAATGTTTAAAAAGTTAAAATGTTGTTATAAGTTTGATTGAAATAGCTGTTGATTTCAGTAAATATGCTGTAAACACAACAAATGACAATTTTCAGTTCTTTACAACCCATAAAGTGTTTTGAAACTTACTGTGCGTAATAATTTGGACAAGTCCATTGTAAGTTTTTTATGTGTAAAATAATACTGTTATCATTAGGAGGTTTGTTCAATAACATTTGTATTGTACTCTTAATAGTTGATGAGAATTATGCTGACTGTTATTTACATCAATTATTTAGGTAAATGAGAAAAATATCATTTGCATAATACTTTGGAACAGGGTGTAGTGTACAGCTACTGCCTGGAGCACTTGATGCATCTTTGAGTAGGAGATAGGAAACTGGCAGGCATTGTCTGTGAGACTAGTTTACCAATTATTTCTTAATGGTTGAGATTCCCTCCCCAAGCTACCATTGGTCAGAATCCTGAAAATCCTGCAATCAATTGAGAGCTTATGATTTAAATACTCCTATGTTTGCCAGCATCTGGTTCCCCTCTGATGAGCTTCACTGGCGAAACGTGCACGTCAGGGGCTCTGGACACTTACTGACACATTATTGGTGTCGGCACCTAACTCTCTGCTTATCTATTGCTAAATTATCGACATCAAGTTCATTCATGTCCAGCATCTCAGGAGTGCATATTGGAGACTCTTAACACTAATTTTGTGTACTCTGTACATACTTTATTTCTCTTTCTTTTTCCTTTATTATGTTTATGGGGGGAGATTGATAAGACCAGGCATTTTATTAAGGGGTGCCCTCGAAGGCACAAGACTCAGGAATCTTTATTCTATATGCCTTCCTCTGTCACTGTCTGTATATTTTCTACTACCTAGGCAACCTGTTCAAAAAACAGTTTGTAAACCCTCTCTTTATACTTTGACCTATTATTTAGATGCAGCTAGCACTTAGGCAACTTGCGTGACTTTTAACCGGTAATATTTTCTACTACCTAGGCAACCTGTTCAAAAACTGTTTGTAAACCCTCTCTTTATACTTTGACCTATTATTTAGATGCAACTAGCATTTAGGCAACTTGTGTGATTTTTAACCGGTTAACTGCTGCCGGTCAGCAGTTCTTCACAGGTGAGCTACTACTTTGTGCTCCACTGTGGTCAAGCATAAGTTAACATCATTCAGTGCAGGCAGCTGTTGTTACACTAGAATATACTGCTAGGTATCTTGCAGAAAAAACGGAGCCAGGTCAGCAACCCCTTATTTTATACTTTACTGCTTGACAGCAATCTTTAATTTATTATCAAAATGCTGCTATGATCTGGGCAGCTTTTGTGATATTTAACTGGCTAATCGCCGTCTGTCAGAAATCTGTCTTAGCTGAACCATTATCTTTGATCATTCTGAGGTTAAGCGCCATAGAACATTATCAATTATTGTATGTGGAGTTAACCCATGTTGTTAGTTGTACGATCATGTAGGGATTTACTTATCCATATCTTTTAACTATTAACAGCACTGGTTTAGCAGTTGTCTTATCTCCCCCCCTCTTTTATCTTATATTTATTTATTAAAATTTACTTTTTAATCTACAATCTTCTCAGTAAATCATATACAGGTAGAATGGCATTTGTTTCTTTTTTTGTTTATTCTCTATGATAGTTTACCAATATACAATTTTTAGGAAATGTTTTTTTTTTTCATTAACTGTTTGGAGGAATGAAAATCCTTCTTTTAAAGAGTGTGATATTAGGAAACAAAATTTCCTTTGCCTAGCCTGTGTCATTGATTTTAGTGTGAGACTAGATTTAGTAGTCCAAGCTGTATAAAGCCAGTAGCTACTTGTGACGATCTGAACCTCGTCACTGGTTCTTGGAGGAGCCTGCTGGCCAGCCTCTTAACCTGTGACCCCTGCAATAGACCTGGCTAAAATACTTTAAAAGGCTCTGTTCATGTGAAGTATGTACTTTTCTACTCTATACAGCGAGACCAACCGTTAGCACTAAGTCTCTGGAACTGTTTTGGGCATGGGACGATGTGCACTGTCAGTCAAATATAAGACTTCCAGGAAATTCCTGAACCCCTGAACTGATCTGGTTGATTTTTGAATGTTTTGGTCACCCAGATCAGGGTTATCAGAGGATGGAACATTTGTGAGGTTTTACGTATTTTAGGGTACTTTTGGGGTGTTTTTAAAAAGTATGTTTTTTCTGTGCTTGAAGATAATTGGATTAGAATTAATGCAGTTACTGATCCAATTATCTCCCAAGCAAAATAGAGGGATTGTGTGCTATGTGTAGGAGTGCCTTACATTGTAAATGTGTTATTATTGGTTTGTAAGTTTGTGTCCCTGTCCCCAACAAGGTCCATGTGGGCGTACACCTTGCTTGGGGGCTTCCATAAAAAGGCCAGTGTGGCTCCCATTAAAGAGAGATTCGTTTACCCCTTCATGAAATCTTTGCTCATGTTTGGGGGATTGGAGAACTACATCCACTCTGGGATTGCTATATCACAATACTCCCCCGAGTAAATTCACTGGCTCTTATAAGAGCTGTAACTGCTACGATCTCTGGACTAGGCGAGGTCTACCATCTGGAAGCTGGATCCTGGTCTTGGGTCCAGGGTGGGTGAAGGACGGCGAGACCCCAACCAAGCTGTAGCGGTTCGTGGAGTCTACAGTGCTTATGGTGTCTGGTGGAGTGCTTGGAGCCCTCGGTGAGAATTAGGAGCATCGATTGACGGAGGTACCCAGTCGAGGCACCAGGCGGTCCGTCACAGTGATGATCCGCTAAACTGGTTTTGATCATATGTATTTGATTGATCACAATATGTGTTCATTTCTGACAATGACTCCCTCTCCCAGTCACATGTGGTGTTCCCCAAGGTTCCATTATCAGCCCCTTACTATTCTCATTATTTATATATGATCTGCCTAATGTCTGCAAATCCTCAAATTTACACATGTACGCAGACGACACAGTAATCTACGCAAGCAAATCCGATCTACCGCAGCTTGAGTCTGTGCTCTAAGACTAGTTCACAGAGGTAGAAAAGTGGATCACAAAAAAACGAACTTTGCTAAACACTGACAAAACTGTTGCAATGATCTTGGGAACAGTACCTAAATTACACAAATTTCAAAATTCCCATCTATGCATCAAAACAAAATCATATAGCACACTTACCGCAGTCCACACTTTCAAATACTTTGGTATGTTCTTAGACCCAAATCTATCTTTTGGCCTCCACATAGAAAAACTTGCAGCTAAACTTTATCAAAAACTAGGTGCCCTGTACAGAAACAAATTCTGCCCAAGCCCTACAGTAAAGGAAAAGATTGTACAACAAATGCTGATGCCAGTCATTGATTATGGCTGTAGCGGAGAGCTAGTATTTCATAGCCTATCTCCACTTGTAGATCCCAGTGAGGCTCAGGAACAAGTAATTATAAATCCATAGGTCAAAGTCTCCAGCAGGCAAAACAATACAGCAGTATCCCAACAGAACTCCCAATAACTGGACGACACACAGTATCAGGAGCAGAACTAAAGATTTATTCACAGCAGCTCCTTATAAAGGATTCTCCCATGCAAGGGAGGGATTTACAGTAATTACAACAGTAACCAATGATACAGAGGTTCCCTCCCCTACTTTCCCTCCCCTCAGAGTGACACTTAATCCACTTAATCCTGGCACCTTTTCCCCTGTTTTCTTGTATGTACCCTATGTAACGGATCACCTGGCACCCCGACTGGGTACCTCCGTTGAAGGATGCTCCTAGCGCTTCCTGAGGACTCCAAGCACTCTGGCAGACACCACAATCACCGAACCGGAGAAGCATATGAGTACTTTTAAGCATATGAATGCTGTAGACAGTTGAATAGGAACCATACAAATAGGTTTACTCTCCTAGCAGTCAAACTGGAACAGCATACAATAAATCCTTCCCCCAATAATGAGACGACACTACACTTTGAGGATTAAACAGGAACTCCCTGTACTGTCACATACAGTCTCTTTTATTCCCAATCCACAAACATAGTACAGCCCACAGGGTGTTGCAAAACAACCAATCAATCCGTACAATACACCCAGACACTCCCACACAAACTCCTCCCCTCTGCCTGTGATATGATTACTGAACACAATGGGTAATCTCATTATCACCGGCAGAGGAATACAGTTTTTACACAATATTTATAACTTCTAAAAATATACATGTCACAAACATAAAACATACATTTTCATAATCAATCCATTCAGGGGAACAACATATTAAAAAATGGCACAAATCAGACCAGGGGTTCAAAAGTTAAGGGAAAGTCCTTTGTGACTAAATGAAGCATGGCTTTCCGGCCCAAACCAGTTTCAGAGTCTTCTATCCTGGAGATAAGTAATTCAATTATCTCCCAGGACAGACACAAGACTCCATTAAGCACATGGTTGCAAAAAGACACAAAACACTTTAAAATACATATAGTCACCTTTTATACATAAAACACAGACATGTCACATATCCCCAGATAGCTGGGATCTGAGCGCACAAAACTACCAAATAACGCTCATATCCTATTCACACAGTTCAATTGCCATGGAGCCGAAGTCTTTAACTACACGAATGGGCTCCATGGCATAGCTATCTGGGTTAATACCTTCACATAAAGTCTGGTCCATAGTCCAAAGGCAAGAGGCGGGCAAGCAGCCCCCTCCAAGGACACGTGGTGAGGCCGGTTTCGCCACACCCTAAAACCATGGGGTACCAGGACTTAAGTGGCATCCCCTGGTAGCTCTAGTCTGGGTGACCAACATACTCAAAATTCACCCAGATTAGACCAGGGGTTCGGGAGTTATAGACATTAAACAATTTGACCGACCGCATACGAACATGTAGCCGAAAGGAGTTCCATGTATTGTGGCCCTGCGGTTGGTCTTCGTTCGGGAGATGAAATAGACATAAATCCTTGACATCCATAGAGAATACCGGGTTCGCATGAACCCCCTTGTTCGGTATATTGAACTCACCGAATGGGGAGTCGATTAGCCCATCCGTTCGTGAGTTCTGGAGCTCTGGAGGTCTCAGCGGTGTTCGTGCAATCGAGTGTCCGATTTGGGTTCCAGACACTCGACAACCAAACACCGCTGAGAGTTGGCCGCCGCCACGTGTTCGTCTACCGAATGGCGGCCACCCAGGTACATCAATAAAACCTCAATTAGCTGCAGTTACAAAGGGAATAAAGGTTTAACGAGGGACACACTTCAGCTCTAAGGTGGTCTATGTATTCGGTAGTTTCCATTCGTATAACTATGAAGGAAACTACAGAACTAACATACGAACTTAGATGCAATTTTCACTTCAGTTAAAACAGGCGAACAGTCTTTTAAAACATAACTCTGGCGGATAGTCACAGTCCATCCGCTACAATGGCGATGTAGTATATGCACTTGCACCGCAAACCCACCTTAATAAACTTAATATATTGTATAACTCATTATGCCGCTTTGTGCTACAATGTAATTACATGACCCACCATTGTGACATGCTAAAAGAACTAAACTGGATGTCGCTGGAATTCAGACGCACCCTTCATCTTTCCAGCATTGTGTTTAAGAGCTTTTCTGGGAAGCTCCCACCCTACCTGAGCAGAATGCTCTTCCAGGCTGTTCCCACCTCCTTTAACCTCCGATCCAGTACTAGTACTTTATTTAGTCTACCTCAATACAAAAAGAAAGCAGCTCGATCCTCCTTTTCCTTCTGAGCACCGCAATTATGGAACGACTTCCCACACACCTTCAAATCTTCCCCGGGCCTAAAATCCTTTAATAGATCCCTCTCTACATATCCCTACATATCTCAAAACAGAATGCACCTGTCGTGGCTGATTACATATTTCCTACCTGTTCTGTGTTAAATTTTGTATATATTGTGTATTAATATTGTTTTTGTATTTCACTGTACCCTATTGTATCAATGCAATGTTTTGTGGACCCAGGACATGAAAACAAGAGAAATCTCAATGTATCCTTCCTGGTAACATATTTTATAAATTAATAAATATGAGGAGATGATGATTGCCCAGGTTGAATGAGATCATCAGAATTGACAATCTCAGCCAAACCAATGCTTTCCTATGGGAAAGCATTGTGATTCATGAGATCATCACTTCTGATTAGTGATGTACCGAACGGTTCGCTGGCGAACGGTTCCTGGCGAACATAGCATGTTCGCGTTCGCCACGGCGGGCGAACATATGCGCGGTTCGACCCGCCCCCTATTCGTCATCATTGAGTAAACTTTGACCCTGTACCTCACAGTCAGCAGACACATTCCAGCCAATTAGCAGCACAGCCTCCCTAGCAGACCCTCCCACCTACTGGACAGCATCCATTTTAGATTCATTCTCAAGCTGCATGCTTAGTAAGAGGAGGGAAAGTGTAGCTGCTGTTCATAAGATAGGGAAAAGCATAGCTAGGTTAGGGATAAGGGTATGCTTTTTTTTAATTTATTTTTTCTATGTAATGTAATTGCACTTAGTTGTCTGCCACTGCTGCTAGCTTCTGTGTCAGGCTCACAGTGCATACTGTGCCCATTTCCCCAGTCAGTGCCACCACTTACATCTGGTGTCACAATAGCTTGGATTTAAAAACAAAAAACTTTTTTCACTGTTATAGATTGAATAGCAGTCAGTTGTCTGCCACTGCTGCCAGCTTCTGTGTCAGGCTCACAGTGCATACTGTGCCTATTTCCCCAGTCAGTGCCACCAATTACATCTGGTGTCACAATAGCTTGGATTTAAAAACAAAAAACTTTTTTCACTGTTATAGATTGAATAGCAGTCAGTTGTCTGCCACTGCTGCCAGCTTCTGGGTCAGGCTCACAGTGCATACTGTGCCCATTTCCCCAGTCAGTGCCACCAATTACATCTGGTGTCACAATAGCTTGGATTTAAAAACAAAAAACTTTTTTACTGTTATAGATTGAATAGCAGTCAGTGTCCTTAAAGCGGGTGTGTTACGCTAACAGTGGATACGCTGACAAGTGCCACTAATTAAATCTG